TATTATAAATGTCAGTGTTTCAAAAAACGCTAGGCGGTACCTAGGTGGTCGAGGGTCTAGGCCGTCTAGCGCTCAAAACCTGAGCAGCCCAATAAAAAAAAAAAAGGGATTTTTCTCTCTCTAAAATCAGCTTTAATGATTTTAAGTTCATATGAACCTAAAACCTACAATTTTACACCTTTAGCATTAAAAGAATGACACAAAAATAACCAACTTTAGTATTAAAAGAATGACCAAAAAATAACCTGAACGAGGGATATTTCCACCCCTGAGCAGGGCGTAGTCCCTAGGCGGCCGCCTAGGCGGGTTCCCGGGTGCCTAGGTGGGCGCCTAGAGATATCCACCTAATTTGGCCCCCACGGCCTGAGCACATCCCAAGCCCTCTGGAACGCCTAAGCAACCGCCCAGTCTCTGAGCGGTCCGCTTTTTAAAACATTGATAAATCTATTATAAATGTATATTGTGAGACTATATACCTGTGATACAAGAAGGTCACAATCACTTACAATAATCCGATATAAAAAATGACAGCTTGGGTATATCACAAAATTCGAGAAATTTTCTTTTGAAGTTTGAACTTGGTTAATGGAATAAATACTGCCACCTAATTTCACATCCAATGATCACGATTAATTATGACCGCCTTGGATCAAAGACAAATGGGCCCATTATATTTATATATATGAATCACACCCTCCAAGTGCATAAAAAAAATAATGTCCCAAAATTGAGCAAGAACCATCCAACTTTCAAAGGCAAATCCAATTGTTGAAGAACTCGAACAAATTCCATTTTTCCAATCTAATCATCCGATGATTCTTATATGGATCCCAAAATTTCAAATTTAAAAAAAAAACAAAACAAAAAGAAAAAACGATGTCCCAAGTAGCTCTTTTAACTGAGGAAGTTGTCGTATAGTATGCGCTCAGACAAGCAAGCTACACGCCCTAAAAGATATATGAGACAACGGAACAAACATAATCCTTTCCAACACTGTGAACACCGAAACCTGATGACCAAAAGTTCAACCAGATCACTCCTCTAGAATCAAGCCAGGAAATCAAAGTTGCAATGGGCACAAAGAAATGGTATAATCAGTTTCCAAAGGAGCCATCAAGTTGCAAACCAGACCATGCAACCAAAACTTTCAAAAATAGATCATCCAATCAAAGAAAAGCCATGTAGAATGGAAAAGCAAATAAGTATAATAAGGAAATCGCCTACAATTAGTGCATACCCTTTTCTTCTCCCATCAATAACTTCAATAGTGGAATCACTCTATTTCCCTAAATCAAATATAAACAATTTTCATATTTTTAATTGTTTAAACGAGCAAATAGTAACACTAAGCGGTGTGCTGCCCAAATTCGCTGCTAAATAAGATTGTACTCCAGGATAGAACGAGAAAACACACAGAACTCATCCAGCAAAAGATGAAGACAAAAAACCACGGATGACCATATACAGATAAAATGTGCAACTTCATTGCCATTAAAACAGGAAAATCAGACAATCCAATGTCATAAAACATGAGCAAGATTGACAACAAAAAATTTTCAAGCTGCTACCTTATATAAGCCATCATATGTATAAACCTTGCCGCAGTAACTATTTGCAGATTCATGTCCACGAGTCACTCTTACAGGGATGTCATGTTCCATGCTATTCTGTCATTCAGTAAAATATTAGCTTCACATCTCTAAATGTTGTGAATGAAAAACTAGGATACTGAGAATTCTACTAGTAACACGAGCATGATAGCAATAGACAGAAAGTTATGAAAAATCCAAATTTTCTACAGTATTAATCTGACTCCAACAGACATCCATTGAGAATCCACAGCAGCACGCAATTTTTTCATGAAATTGAATAAAATGTGATAACCCTTGAATAAAGATACTATTACTTCCAAATTTATGACAAGGTCATTTTCTCAGCACTTTTATATTTTTTCCCCATGAAATACTGGCAAATTAACACATTCACTTTGAGAGACAAAAATCAGATATCAGAATTAAAATTCCACAACGAGATGGTGTGACATCAGTTGAAATGATCAAAATGCCTTTGGTACAGTCTGAACAAATCTCTGAAGCTATAGAACTATAAAGAGAGCATCATCCACAAATATATCAACGCACATACGGTTTTGAAAGTCTCTAACTTAAAGAGAATTAAATCGGATACAGCAGTTCATATGCCTCGAATTTATACCTTTTTATAATCTAAGTGCATGATAGAGAGGGAGAAACTTACGTAGATCAAGTAAACTACAATAGCTGGAAGCTCTTTTCCAACAGTTGTAATATGTCAGTTCAGATGTCCAAATATTAATGTACTCAATGTTCAAGAGATCACAACAAAAAACTTATGTCTTAAATGGTTAATGGACATTTAAACAGGGTCTCACTGCAAGGAGAAAGAAACCTAGCATGTATAACATCAGAGATCCACACCTTCAATGCCAAATTCCCCCTTTTCATCTCCTGGTTGGCAATTTGATGCTTATTGCCAAGTAGATCATGTCCACCTTGTCCAGTATATACAATATCATCCGAATTGTCTTGGTCATCCTCGTACTGACCTGAGAGAACTATAGAGACAGCAAGGGGAAAAGTATATAGTTCGTATTGCTCCTGCAATGTATGAAATTGAAATAAGGCCAAAGAAAAATCAAAATATTCAACAATTACTTAAGCCTGGAAATTTCCCGAACATCATGATATGATCACACAACTAAATGACAAAAAAGAGGGCACCACAGGCATTAGATCTGGATCTGGCATATAAGATGGAACTAAACACATTATAAATAGTCAAACAAAATGCTTAAGAAACAGAGAGGATAACCAATTTTTTAAACGTTTTGTTAACAGAGGATAACCAATTTTTTAAAGGTTTTGTTAACAGAGGATAACCAATTGTTTAAGGGTTTTGTTAAGGTAGACAATGGCTCCTATGAAAATATGACTATGCCGCATAAGTGGCATTTCAAATTGAGTGCCCGACTTGAAATAATGCTTGGTTTCACATTTAGCCAAGTCCTAATCTCAAAAGAGAAAAAAGCACAGTAAGTGAAACAATTTAAAGCTCTCTCTTGTCTAAAATTCTTCAATCTGTAGTTGTTAATTCAGTTTAAAACAGCACAGACACTTCAGTCGAGAAGAAAAAGTTATAAAGTTATTCAATGAGCGAAAGAGGATCCCTATATATATGAGAAGACCAAGAAGTCGTATTGTTTCTCATTATACATGGATGGTGAATCTTGGAATATCTTAAGGGGATCATCAACAACATCCATGTTTCAATCTCCTAAGCTCCCAAATGATATGGTGGCAGGCGTTTCTCAACCATCTCAACATGCATGGTAATTTGACAAGATGCTTACTAAAGGTGACTCATCAAGCACGATGAGGCAAAAATACAAGTGTTATAGGAAACTTTGACACCCTTTGAAACTCCACCGGTAATCTACCCTGACAGAGACTCCCTTTGATATCTCACCTAAGGTTAAACAAGTAACATTCATGCATCTGTGCATGATGAAGACTATAAACCAGGGAAAATACATATACCTCTGTTTACTAGCTAAAATAGTCCTGGTGGCAAAACTTCAAAGCCAACTGACGACACCTCCCCTTTCTGTTACACTCCAGTGAATCCATCACACCTTTTCTTTATTACTATGCTCCAACAAAATAAATAAGAGTCCCTATCTCATCAAGACGCTTTGGCAGCCGAGAGAAGTTCTTTTTCCTTTTGTCTAAACCTCAAGAATACGTTATCAAATCCTTAAACTCCTTTGGTAATATTTCTTAGACCCATAACCACTAAAGGGAAACAAGTCATAAGGCTTAAGTACAAGCACCACTATTATGCTTCGGAAGAAATCATAGCAAAGGCTTAAACCTTGTGTAAGCTCTGGTGAAATATAAAAAAGAAACACTTTCCACTGGAAGACTTCTGTTAGTACATGGGCTACAAGCTCACATGGAAGATTTGAGGTCCCATCCAAATGTATCTGGATAATGCATGGCCCCACGAGAAACACTATTTGTTGATGAACGAACACGTGTCAACACACGATCTCCATAAGTTGGTGGATCCGACAACTACGAGAAACACTAGGACACAAGTACCAAGCACAACCATAAAACTGCCCAATGAGCATAGATAGACACAAACATAGGGAAAACACTCAAAAAAGCAGCAGAGTCAAAGTTCCCTACAAAGATCCTAGAAATCAATAGGAACGCAATAAAGGACCCTTCGTATGCGAAGGAAATTTTGAGTTGTAGTCATCTATAAACGATCAAGTAAAGGTATAAGCAAAGATATTTTGCCCCTCCATCCGTTGAGGTGACGAATGTAATTAACAAGGTATCTATGAAGGCCTTGGAACCAATTTACCCAAGAACAAAAAAAAAACTGACCTAGCCTAATCACCAAGCTAGGTGGCGTGTTTGAGCGTTTCATGAGTCGCAATTGCCTATTCATGCACAAGCTCCAGAAATCACCCAACAACAAGAGAGTCGCCCAACAGATGATAGCAAAAGTTCATGAGGACATATTTCAGAACCCGTAGGTCCTATATTTCATTCGATCATTAAGGGAAGCCCATAAGGTTTTGATCTCCTGAGATAGGGATGGAGCAGTTCTGTAGGTGAAATTGTCAGAACACATACTGTTGTGTGCAATCCACTGATACTGAAAGATGAACACTCACCAAAAAGTAATATACACACAAAGTAATATACACCAAAAAGTAATATACACACGCAAGCCTGAAACCAAATTCAAAACTCATTACAAGAACATGACATGCACCTTACCCTGAAGTTCATGGAAAGACAAAATCCTTCCCAAATAGAAGCAACGAGTAGCAGGATTGAAATCAAATACATAAAGAAGAAGCAAGTTTGAATAATTTAAAAAGTAAGTTTAAGAAAAGGAGTAGTCAACAATACCCTATTCACTGAACAACACAACTAAAAATAACTAATATGTCAGACCAAACCTACAATCAACATACTAACACAGTACAGGAATGACAACATACCGAGCAACCTAGCAAACTAAACGAATCAGACCATCTTCTAATGACCAATTAAAAAATTACACAATAAGAAACTCAAAATGTTTCTAGAAACATACCACTTTACTATAGCTACTTCCCATGTAATCAATTCCATTTAGCCAGTGTTGGTGAAAACCTATAACAACCATCTGAGCCCGAGAAAAGAATTGATGCCCAACATCAATACCTGTCAATATAGCAGGCGCATATCAGCATTTTTCGGAGCCATCTAAGACAGCAAATATAACGAGACTACACATTGGAAGATTATAAACAACAGAGGAAAAAATAAGCATATAAGACGTTTCAACATAAAATTTCAAATACCCAGATACATGAGAGCAGCAGACCTGGAATGTTACCAAATCTTTTCTCAGGGTACAGAATTGTTTTAGTTTCAATCATCTGTCAGAAAAAATATGACAAAGGCATCAACACAAGAACATATGAAGTTGGGATAATCAGGGATATGAAAAAAAATCTAAACAATATTGGAACAGTGAATAATTTGGAAAATGCGACGAAGAATGAAAAGCATATCATTTTCAATTTTATATACAGGAAAATCATATTTTCATTGACAGTGCATATTACTCAAGCCATATGGCATACTTGCTACACTGCTCTATTGAGAACTCAAAAATGCCAAAACAGTTATACAGATTTACAGACCCTAGAGATTATCCTAGACTAGAAAGCAATATATCAAGGATCAGAAAAGTTGTAGCAGGAGAAAGCATCAACTGCTTAGTCAATCCTTGACAATGAAAACTCACTGGTTCCCGTAAAATACAATTAAGAGTGACCTGACATGATAGACTACGCCAAAAGCAAATAAATAAACAGTTTTCCCAACTTCAACAATCAAAGAATGGAACACAATGAAAAAAATCCAGAAACAAAGCCAAAAAATTTCAAAATTCTTGTCACATTTGGAACAACACAGTTGCATATAAAAAGCACAAGCAGTCAATAGTGTCAAGAAGAAACAATAGGGAACCACCATGAAACATATAAAATTATCACATAGCCACCTTGCAGCCTAAAAAAACAAAACAGCTACTTGCCTTGGATATGGCCTTAAGATCAGGTCGTTTGATTTTCGATTTGATGTCTACCTCAGAGGCACTACCCTCCTGCAGTCCTCCGCAAGTGTAAATGAGGCCAGAAGCAAGAATTAAACAATTAAACATAAGTTAACCCATTTGTGCTAGCAAATGAAAATATCATGCCAATATTATGTTGAAAGATCGTTAAGAGACTCTCGGAAAATGAGTCATAACTAGAGGACATATTCCAGTTTAAAAAAACCAACAAACAGGTCGGACTTATTCAAGAATTGAAACATGAATCACCAACAACTTCAGTAACTATGAGATGAGGTAAGTTAAACCTTAACAAAAGAAATGCGAGAGAAAATGTTTACGTTAAAATCGTTACCAAAAAGTGTCAAGAAAAAGTTTGTAAAGAGGAAAATCACAAAAATTCAGTATGTTCAATCAAGATGAATCTTAAATCAAAAATTAAGATACCACCTAAAGGTATTGCTTTTCTTTACTGCAAATGATAAATTAATTAAACAGATGGACAATGCAAAAGTAATCTGCTTCTCTCTCCTCCAAATGATAATTGGTCCACAAATATATTTCAATTAGCACCTATTATCTTTATCACTGCAGTTATCCTAAATGAAATTCCTCGTAAAGAAATTTTTTATGAGAAAGACTGATACCCATCAGCACCAAGAAAGGGGCAAAACAATAAGAACCAGGAGCAAGAAAAAGAAATAAACCTTATTCACACGCTCATCTGCATGAACAGTAGTATGTAAGGACAACTATATTTAAACATGACAAGCAGATGACTTATAGACGATCATAAGACAATAAAAAACTAAAAGTAACATGCAAATTACCTTATCCAGTCTTGCAATAGTAGATTTCAAGTTGTTTTTGCCTCTTAATTTGTGTGTCTTACCCTATAAAACAGAAAATTAATCTTAGCCTGTGGTGATTATCAAATCAATCACATGTTCTACAATAATGAAACCATCAAAAGAAATGCAAAACCCTGTTGATTAACAATTGACTGGCTTCTAATAAATAGTGACCCATGACCTTTCAGCTCCGAAGAGATCTTGGTGGCTCCGTCACAAGAATGAGATACATTTTCATATAGGTACATAGATGAGACATGTAACTATTGTGCCCATGACAAAAATGGGCATGCATGTAAACTACATGTATCAAATTATGACCCATGACTACCTTAGGCTTGCAAGCACTACCAACTTCTGGCTCATTGGCTACTTTTACTTTTCCACACCTTTTCTCCTCTTCCTACAAAATCATTGAGACATTAGTGAATTAACTTTTCTAATATCTATATTCAATTCCAAGACTTGATACTAGATAAATGAAGACTAGCTTACAAGTGGATGACCAAATGTAAAGATTGCATGAATACTTCTAATATATGCACATGAAAACTCTATACAAGGAGAAAAATAAATCAATAAAATCTAGATCATGTTTTTTCCTATAAGCCCACCTTTGACCACAAACCTATCCTTCTTCAGGTTAGCCTCTCACCTCAGGCCCTAGACACTTCAAGTTTGAACTTGCTTGGCTTGAAAAACTGGAACTTGACTCCAGATTCAGTGATTATTGGAATTCCTTTTCAGTTTTTTACTGGGTAGGTTTCTTCTACTCCTTAAACAGTCCATCAAATCATGGAGCTCAAACCTTTCTTCCAATTTTATTTTGGCCAAGAACTATAAATTAAAAAAAGAGGAGGTGCAATTTGGTTCAAGTGGAAAGCTATAAAAGGTCAAGGGGAAGACACAAATGCACATGAATAGAAATAGTGAGAAAAGTTATGAGGACCGATGGCCTTACTAAGGGTATGGCCCTTGATCAAGCAAAATAGTGGAACAGAATTCGTATAGCCGACCTCAAATAGTTGGGATAAGGCGTTGATGACATAATGCAAATCAGATACTTTGGTAGTCTACGTCAACGCCATAAGATGCTTCAAATCGTTGCAAAAATCATTAAAAACTACAGCTAATAAACACAGTCCATTAATTTCAATCTCAATCTACTCAGCAAATGAAGAAAAAAAAACAGACTAGCAATCTATGCCATTAACTTCCTTTAAACCCAGTTCATCCATTTTGCCAAACCAATTGAAACCATTTTGATATGATACAAAATCGAGTAACAAAATCAAGTAAAAGTAATAAAAACAAACAATGCACACCTCTATCACCTCATCAGACCAGACCATTCCGATCTAGGAGTTGGACAAGAACTCCAAAGGAAACAAATTATCAGGTTGTAGTTTGAATAAGTGCAACTACTCTTTGGATTAACCAACAAGAAAAAGTTGTTGACATCCTAATAATATGACAACATCATCCTGATGCAGTGAAATTGTGACTAAATCACAACTAATCTATAGAAAACTCTAGAGTATGTAAATCTTTTGATACTTTTCTCTCCAAATGCCATGTTTATAATTGTTATTCCATTCTCTTAGAAAGCCTTGAAGCATTGATCCGAATTCTTTAGTTAATCAAAAAAATAAGTATCTTTATTCAGTTAGGCTGTTAGCATACCAAGGGGAATGTATCAAACCCCATAGCATTACTTCCTAACCAGATGCCCCGACCTTTTAACATTTCACCATATAACTGCAAATTGATTTATAGCAGTGGATTACATGTTACTTGCAAAAAGTTAGTAATAAAAAGATGGTGGCAGCAAGAAAAGGCTTTCTTTATCTAAAATAGTCAGAAAGTAAACCATAGTCTTACACTGAGCTGGAGGTAAAGTCTACTAATGAAACAGCATAATACTATGATAATTTATGAGAAAATTATCAAAATATCCATAAGAGATGAACTATTCAATATTTTACCCATTTGCAACTATTCAAACTCACGATCATATGTTCTTTTATAGGTATTTTGAAATTAAATCAAATGACATGGGTATAACATAGTTCATCTCTCGTGGGTATATGGATTAATTTCCCACAATTTTTTGTGAGCCAGTTCTTGAATAGAACACCAAAAAGCATGCCCCTATCTCAATATCCAGGATCATCACAATTGACAGCAAGTTCCTCCTAGTCCTTGACGTCCTCAGAGGACAATTTGAGTCCTGCTAAGTGAACCACCACATAATGGTTTTGCATTTGAAATATTTCAACTTTAAAGTATGATTTGTCTTTGCTGCTAACATCGGCACTCCAAGTAGGAGTAGTAGTAGTAGAAGTAGTAATGGTTCCTTAAGCTTCGATTTAGTGGTAGAGAATTAGATATATCAGTTTGAGTGAGGGAGGTCATGGGTTCAAGTCCTTGAAGTTTGTCCAAAAATAACCAAACAAAGTTGACCTAATCTCTTTTTGCGCTTCAAATAATAACAATAACAACAACAATATCAATCATCATCATCATCCGAGCCTTATCCCAACGAATAAACGAAAATTCGGCTCCCTTGCCGTGTAGGCTAGCCTTATCCCAACCAATAAACGAAAATTTGGCTCCCATGCCGCCTAGGCGGCCACATATGCTCCCTCTTTACATATAAGAAGAAAACTCTCTCTCTCTCTC